GCGTAGCTGTAACAATTTTGAGTAAAACCATAACCCAATGTACAGGCGTGCGTCATTGGCGTTGCCTTCCGGATTCGAAACGATTAAGTGATTTCGTGCACACTGCATGATAATTGGATTAATATGCGCTGACAGCGGGTACAGCACAGCCCAGCCAGCCAGCAGTGTGATGCCCATGCAACCACCACTAAGCTGGCTGGAGTTGGAGATGGTGGGGGTGGCTTGTCGGAACTGGATAGGAGGGCTGTTGCTCTGGCTAAATGGCAAATTATAAGACTGGCGCACTGGGAGAATGTAGGGGTTATTAAGTAGATCAAGCGATGCCCGGTGAAAGAAAGTAAGTGGTTCGTTGTGTGGGTTAAATGCTCTCGTTATCGTCGGCATCAAAATCGCATATATTCTCTGTGTATACCATGAATCATACCATCATCATGGCAGCGCCACTGCTGAAGGGTGGAACAAATGCGTAAACGAACTCATCTCTGGCTTGACTTTGCTTTTGGCTACGGGTGGTTAGTGCTAACCCTCAAATTGTGCTGCAAACCCTCGGCTTTTGTTGATGTAAACCAATTTAAGCAGCCCATACGTGGGTGGAGAAGCATATTCCAAGTGCCACCACAATTTTCTCAACGTATGCTCATGCTAATGCTGTGTGAAGTCAGGATTACGATATGATGAAGTTGTATTGTTAATATTAATAAATGCAGCCGCACCCTCTGCATTGATTCTTTGAGCCAATTATGAGAAAGACAGCAACAATTTAATTCGAAAATACTTTAAGCAGCCACTGGTCAACCATTGGCTCACTGTTCGGCCACTTAGCTGTCCATTACCAATCGCTGCCGCTGGACAAACAAATTAAATTGATTTGCTTGCCGGGCCACAGAAGCCGCTTCCGAAGTGCCTGCCGATCATCATATTTGGATTGGACTGGCCGGACCTGGCGGAGCCTGGCCCGACACTAGCACTGACGGCGGTGCGATCAAACACCCAAAATTATTTGACAATCGAATGGGGCAGCCAAGAGTTGGGTTTAAGCAGCTAAGTGCTGGACTAGAGACCCATCTGTGATCAGTGGGTGCCTAATTGATAAAGTAAACCGTATGAAAATTAGCGGCCAACTTAAAGAAAGAGCTCGTTTACCCACCGATTTTCTTATGATTAATATATTTGCACAACGCCTGCTATCCTACGCAGTCGAGCGCTCAATTGCCCAAAGGCGGCAACGATTTTAACACCTCTTCAGCTCCGATCTGGTCTGCGCATAAAGATGAGCTGCAAGTGGGCAGCTGGTGATGTTGTTGTTGCTGTGGCCTTTTGTGTGTTTGGCTCCTCATTAGTGGGTCTTGCCGTCTCGTCTTTTGAACTGGCCGCAACGCGCTCTTTAGACACTTGTTGTCTAATTACCAAAGCCACCCGCAATGGCACGTCTGGCGTTCTCTTTTTGCCAGTTGTAAGTTGTAAGTGTGGCACTGGGTGAAATCGTCACCGAGCCAAGCGAAAGCCAAAGTTTCTCTTCGCGCCTGCCCGTTAATCGGCGCCGGCTTTGATGCTGCTGCTGGTTGGGCTTATTCATGAATCTAACGATTTGTACAGCTTTTGGCCTCAGTTTGTTTTCTTGCTCCGCGAAAGGTTCGATCTGGCGCAGATAATGATCGGGAGCAATAAAATTGAAATGCGTCTGTTAATCGTTTCAAGATACATAATAATTTTGTGATCAAACATGCTCAGGCGGCGACAGTCCCTACATTGGCAACCAAAGGCGATCAGAGATCGCGATTCTGATGGTCTTCGTGTATCGATCACTTTGCTTGGGCTCGCCGCGCCCAGCGGTCCCAGTACGCAAAAATCACAGCGGTAGTTTTAAGATCGGCATTAGCCGAAGCTATAATGCGCTGCAGCTACTTATCATACCTAAATGTTAAAACAAAAGTGGTTCGTTTCATTCTGTAGATGATATTAAATATTTATCATAATATGTAAAAACATATGAAAAGAAATTTGTAAGCAAAATAGAGCAATATCTCATGTGTGTACTATGAAAAAGATGTACATATAGCTAAAATATGGTAAACGAAATAAAAGTAATTATAATACAATATTATATTTTGAAGTTTAAAGAAGGTTTATTAAATTCTTTTTGCTAGGGGATCTTAATTAATATCCTTATCTGTATATATATTGACTATATTTGTCAATCTGTATCTTTAATACATATTCTATTTTTCGTTATCTTATATATACCGTCTGCCTTTATTATCTGAGAGCGCATGGTAGATTAGCTTAAGTATCTTGCCAGTGAAGTGCGATCGTTCTCCAAAATGTAGAGCATCGAGCATAATAAATCTTTGGCTTGGCGCATTTCTTCTTCTTGATTCCGCTAAGCACAGTCAAATCCAAATGCTAAAAGAGCTATTGTTTGCCAAAAGGGCCGACGAAAAGAAGAAGGTAAGCCCAGAAACGCAGACAAATTCGGTCGATATTCGTGCCAGCGGCAAACGCAGGACTATGCCGCAGCTTGATAAGCATCGGCAGCGCAAGCTGCGACCGCTGATCTTAACCGATCCGCTGCGATCCTTTTAACGATGTCACAGTAAATATTTATGGCAGTGCCCAAATAAAAAATGTCAAGCGAACAGCTTGGAGGCCAACCCAAGAGCCGCGTCTGCTTAGCTAGAAATTAGAGCAATTAGCTCTAGCCCTTGCTGTAGCCTGCAGTTAGTGCGCTGTTCATAAAAAGGCAACTAATCAGCGTTGACATGTTGGACATATATATGTATACATATATACAAATATATATATATTCAGTAAAAAAAAAAATGAAAGAAAATAAACACTTATTTATACGAAATATATATAATAATATACTGCTGATTGCTGCTGTGACCTTTTCTGTCTGCTCTGTGGCTACTGTGGGCGTGCTGGATGCAAGTTGTAGCTTGTAAACAATTTTCATTATCAGATGATTATGTAATTTATAGAGCCAGGAGCTACCTGTGCGCGCGTTCTTGATCTGCCCGAAGCGATAACCAGCGGGCGACGCGGCATGTGCAATGCCCCTGCCACACACAGATACACACATACACACACACACACACCAGTGCAGAGATACTTATTCTATGTTCAGCATAAATGTCAAAGGGCATTTAATGAAGTTATTTAACGCTGCGACCCAAAACCGAGGACAAGAGGCGGTCCCAAAGGCTACCGTTTGAGGACGAGGGCGTATTGAGACTGCGATCGAGTCTGGTGATCATAATCTGTGAAGTTTGGCCCGCTGTCTGGTTTGCATTGGGCCAAACTGGTTGGGCAATAAAACGCTTGCTATAACGAGCAACAAAATTTGTAACGATTCAATTTAAGGCTATGTACAAGCGTCGGCAAAAGATGAAATAGTCAAATAGACGCAAGTCCCCAATGGCAAGACCCCTCCCGCAGGCCCCAGCCGCTGCGGTGTGCACCCAACTGGCGGCAGTCGCAGACACGAAGCCGTTTTGTATGTTGGGCGCATGTTGGGACCTGGCAAGCGGTTCAATTCAATAAAATTTATGAAGACATGACTGGCAATTGTAGTCCCGACGTCGGCAACGAGCACAAGCCCAACCCAGCACTGCGCAGAGTTCGACGATCGAGTCCGCATCCTTTTCAAAACCGTTTGACGCCTACTTGCCCATTGAGGATACCTTGCAATAACAACAATAACAACAACAACCAAAAGCAACCATTTACAACTCAATTGAAGTAGCTGCTCAAATTTTTTACTTGACATTTTTCCGCAAATTTATCAAATTAATTAAGCGAAAAATTTTGTAGCCTGCCAAGGCGGTCTTTCACAAAAGGAAGCAACGGTCCTATCGTGTGCAACAATACGCGCACTGATTTTTTATACCTGTCTACACAGTTATGGGTGTGCCAGGACCATAAATATGACCGCGGGCGAGGCAAAGGATTTCAGCATTTGACCGGTGCTACAAGCAGCAAATACCATTGATATACTCTCTCCGATAATCGCCATATCGCAAGTGTTATCTATTGTCCCCGCTCGGCCCTCGGTGTGTGCTGTGTGTGGGAAACTTGTGCGTCTTTTGTTGCCGCAAATTGTCATAAAATTTCACATAAAAAACTAGTTACTTAGATAGTTAGGTAAGGCTTTCGGGTGGTCTGCCAGATATCGAATACATAGACCTATTTACATTTCTGAATAGTTGGCACGTAGAATTGCAAAGTTCGTTTTGTTTTAAAATTCTTCCCAGGTTGTCAAAACTGATTCTAAATTGGATATCTTACAGCGTGCCTCAATAAAGCAGGAGAAATTTAATTGTGTTAGCATTGACTTATTGATTTTAAATAAGATCTTTATTAGACACTGAATAATATTGTCATAACTGCACTTTTCCGAAATAGAAAAAATCGTAGAGCCCTAATTGTTTGTCACAGGTAAAAATACAAAATTTCTGTGAGTCCTATAAAAATAAATATGTATCCATGTTATTCCTGTGCAAAGTTATTTCAAATGAAAAGTAAAATGCTTACTAATGATTATATTGGATTTCACTGATCTCTGATGAAAATAAAATTAATAGCAATTAATATTTTGTTATCTATATAGCTTTTGCACATTTGGAACACTTATATTTAATGGGAATCGATTTGTGCTCTCTGAGCAAATTTAAAATAGTTAAAAATGGTTGCGCCTTTTTAGAGATAACGTCTTCGGTTTTGCTATGTATACACATTTGGTTGTCATATTAATGACCTGAAAATGTCATATAAATCAGACAATATATATATAACCTAGCCAAGAAAGCATTTTTTATAGTGTGGTAAAGAGAGGCGAAGAGGAGCTGCCGCAGTCCACTGTTACATGTTGCAAACTATAATAATTCAATGAATGAGATTGTATTACGACATATTACTTTATTTTTAAGATAAACGTGCATTCAACATTTTAAAAATTCACATCATAGATATTTGACAATTTTCAGTTATAGAAAGGCGAATTATTGTGTTGTATCCCAATAGATCGCCGTTGTTGATTCGGTGGAATCATAGCCCTTGGTCGTTAAGGGTGACTTACCACTCAAGCAATCATTTAATGCCTCGTAGGTTACGGACGTGTCCGTGACATATGCCTGCTCCGCATTGTTGATGCAAATGGTCTTTGTGCTTTCAATTTGCCTATAAAAGTTCTTGATTTCAAAACTTGTTTGGGTTGCGCTTGTCGAAATTGCGTACATCGATTTCGATTCATCAGCGCCCTTAAAAATATAATCCGCCATAGTCAAGATTCACTTAATATAGGGTCTCACGTAATGAGGTACTCACCACCTGGGCGAAGCACTCGAACGCCTCAACGTAGCCCACTATTGTGGAACAGTCGGCTATCAGATCACAGGAATACTTGCCACGGGATACAAGGGACTGACGTGGCTCTTGCCACTTGGAATCCTCCAAGGCGGTTTGCTCGGCGTACTCTGTGTTGCAATGGGTGTATCGGACCTCGTATTGTTGCGCAATGTTGTCCAGTCTTGGCCTATAGTGTTCAAAGCAAAGTGGAGCATTACTCGGGTTCTGTGCACTCAGCAGCTCCGACTGCTGCTTTAAGCGATGGATCTTGGGTATTTCCAGCTTTACAGCCGCAACCACGGCCAGGCCCAGGAGCAGCAATACACCGATTGTCGACGACATTTCAAAGCTCTGAGTTGACTTGAATCGGATTTGAAAATGCTTTGCTTTTTATAGGGCGCCGTTCTGGATATCAATGGCCGCAATCATATCGTTCGCAATTATTTCATGTTCGTCGAGTTGTTTTAGCCAAATTACATATTTTATCAGACATCCGTTGTTTATTTGCTATTAATTAGATTTTGGTTGCGCGTGCTGCCGAAGTTGTAGCAATTTCTTTTGTGTAATAAGAGAAATTGTTAGAGGCTTAACCTAATAATTGATTTCAATTAATTTGTAAGTAGCTGTGATTTTTCAGAGCTATTTGTTTTTATCGCCCGACCAAACGTAGAGTAGTAATTAAAACTGATATTGGAGTGAATTCATTGAAAACAACCGAGTGTAGTCTTGGGGAACACAGCAAAACATTAAGAAAATGATTTATAATTCATTTAATTAACCAATTAATTAACTTTGTATTTAAATGTTATATAATAATTAGGAGTGCAAGCAAATTATCGTATTAAAAGCCGTATTTTATACAAAATTGTCATCTACACAATTCATTTTATTTAATGTTATGGTAAGTAAATAATGCTTTGGTGCTGAATACCCTTCTTGGCTTGGTCCTGATTTCGGCACAGTGATTTTTTGTGCAACTCGAATGCATCTATTAAACAAATTTTGATATTTCCCAGCTAAGCACATTTTAATTTAGGCACATTTGATTATCGCTCTATTTTTTTTATTTATTTATTTATTTATTTATTTATTAATGGTCGACAAAACGAGTGTCTTCCTCATTATTCAAAATTGTATAATATAATTATATGCTAAAAGCCTAGTTAAAGGATACAATTTTCTAAATAGCATCACCGACCGATGGAGGTGTTTTATTTGCCAGTCCGGCCAGCTGTGCCCCTTTTCACAGCTAATTTTGTCAGTGACGCTATTAGAGCCTACATCTAAGCAGAAGGTTGTAAGTAGGAAAAAAGTGATCTCAAGTGAAATTAAAAATAATCTTAATTTGCTATATTAATAAAGAAAATACAATAAATAGGAAAAAAGAAAGTAAGAAAATTGTTAATAAAGTTAGCACTATTTGTCCTGAATGATTGACTGGCTGACTGATTGGTGATCCACGTACAGAACAAACCGATCGACCTCAAATAAAATTTCTAAGATCTTGCTCAAATTTATTTGAACACATTTTTTGGAATATCCATTTTTCCGGGTTGGAAATCTGATGGGCTGTGATGTTGCGGGCTTAAATTAGTTTCTTATAGCCTTAAATATTTGTGAAAATTCATGTGATACGTGTTTCACTTTTTTCGGAAAATATATTCTTCTAGGTTGATAAGCGCGGGTCAAACTTTGAACGAACGAAGTTTCGAGTGGAATCTCATTCGTCAAGATCTTAAGAAAACTCATTTAAGACTTGTTGTGCACTTTTTGAATAATGCATGTTCCTTCGATTAAAAATGCGAGTAAACAATTTTTTTAGGCGGAAGCTCTCAATTTCATCCGATAGATCTTCCATTTACCCTCAAATCCCTAAAGAAAAAGCTTAGCGAATTGCGATTACCGATTTAGTGAACTCCGCAACTCTAGTAAATTTGCGGCAACGGATCATCAGTTCGGATTTGTAATAATTTTTAATGCGCTGTCAATATGTAACATCTTTGCATTAGACATATGAATTTTTATTATTGAATGCATATTTATTATATTGAATTCTATTCATCATATGTTGACCAATCGGTAAAATCTGTTGTTGTGGACTCAGTGGATACTGGAATATTATCGTTGCCCAATAGGCAACTATTCAATAGGCCATAGACCTTAGACGTGTTCTCAACATAGTTCTTTTCCGCATTGCTAACGCAAACGTTCCTGGTAGTGTCAACTCGCGAATAGTCCGACTTGCTCTTGATAGCAGCATCCGTGGCGTTTGCAGAAATTGCATAAAAGATCTTGGCATCTTCAGCAGCCTAAAAATCAGAATTAATTATTATTAATTATATTAATAATAATGAAAACCCCTTACCGTAATTGAGGCACACTCGAACGCATTGTAGGCATTCGAGGCCAGATTGCATGCATATAAAGCGCTACAGGACTGGAATGCACTGGTCTCTATGCTCTCGCGGGCAGACTTATAGCAATTCTCAACCTGTTTGCTTGATGTTTCATAGGCGCTAATGCAGCTATCGTAGTCGACTTCGTACTGTACCGTTATTAGGTTCAATTTCGGATTGTAGTAACTGAAACATATGGTCGACGTGTCCTGATGTACTTCGGCCAGAACCAGGCTTTCGCTGTGGAGCTTCTGAATCTTCTCATTTGTTGTAAGGCTTAACGGCAGTCTGCGAGCTAACGTATAGCTGATACTGAGACCCAGCAGGAGCACAGATATTTTTAGAAACATCTTCACAAGGATATCGACCAGAGACCGTGTACCTGAGTCGATTTGGCGTACCAAAATAAGTTGTCAAACTCTCACAATTTCGGCTGTATTTATATTGATTCGATTCAGCACAATCTCTTAAAGCGTTCTATTATCTTTTAATTATTGATGTCAATGTCATCATAATACGAAACAACCTAACTCCTAAATCAACTGTGTTAATTTATAAACTGTATTTTTTTATCACTTTTTTCTGTTTTTATTTGTCTAACAAGCCAATGTGTTTTTACTGTAAAAAGCGCCGAGGAGGCATCGATAATATTAATGTAAGGTAGAGCAATAACCGTTTTAGACTGGTCCAGTTTATGTCAATGAAATTTTGATAAGAACGGTAACTAAAATATATACATACTTGGTATCTGTAGTATCTTATAAATAGACACATATACTTACACGCTCAATCTGTTTTTATATTAATCGTTATACCGATTACTATCGCTTCATTCTCGTTGCTCAGCAGATATTTTGCAGATATTTGAAGATAATAGTGAAGCTTATAAATTCGGAGTTTGATGAAAATTTCTTGGAAAACAGAACATTTTGAATTTGTTTTCGATCGATATTTCTGATGACAGCTATATCAATAAGTGTTATTGTTAAGATTTTGCAAGGAGAAGATATTCTGAAACTTCTTCTACCAACACTAAGTGCAACATATCAAAATTAAAAATTTAAATTAAAGGAACAGAATTTCGACATCGATTTTGATCGATTCTTTGGAAACACGCACGTTATCGATTATCAGAAACAAACAAGTATTGCGCGGAAGTACGAGGACCTTCGTACAAAATTTAAAGTCTCTAGCACTTATAGGTTCTCGGTTGCTGATCTAGAATATATATATATATATATTACAGCATCAGAAAGAGCCGATGAAAAGTACCAAGACGATAGCTTTAGTTCGCATAGAAGCAGACAGACGGACGGATGGGGTCGGAGATGTCTCCTACTACGTAACACATTTCATGACAATTTAAATACCCTCTACAAGGTATGATAATAGCAATAATAGTAAACATGTTTGAAATACTCTGTTAAATTCCAACAAATTTTAAATTAAGCAAAATATTTTTAATTAGTCAGTTCTAAATTAAATTGTAATAATATAATCAATTATAAGAATTTCATTATCAGCTTTCTATACAATTTTTTGAAAATAATTGATGTATAGGCGAGTTATACAACTGTTGTTTGTGATTCTGTGGTAGTTGTGATGATAATAGACGGATTTGAAGAAGGCTCGACAATATCGCCATTCAGGCATTTCTGGAGCTCAGCATACGTGCGGTCGGTATTTTCCCAATATACTCTTTCGGCATAGTTGGCGCAGAACTCGGCCACGGTGTCAGCGGCACGATACAGCTCCCTCACGATTCCGCCGTATTCACCGGCATCCGATGACAGAGTGAACAGTTTTTTGGAATATTCGGAGCCCTAGAGTAAGAGAGGTGAGTATGAGGATGTACTTCATGGGATTTCAGTTGACTCACTGTGCTTGCGAAGCAGTCAAAGGCATCAACATAGTGGACATTGCCATCACATTTCAGCAGTGCATCGCAGGTCTCCTTAGCTGTTGCGGTGAAGTTTTCACGAGGTTCGTAGTATTTTGCGTCTATCGCCTCGCACTCCGCCTTATACGTGTCCACACACTTGCCATAGTCAGCCTCGTACTGATCCGTAATGTCCTTCAAGATTGGCAAGTAGCGGTTAAAACAGTACTGGTTCAGTGCTGGGTTGCTTGAGCCCACTCCACGCGACATAAGCATAAAGTCCACTAGACTGCGATCGGAGTCGATCTTCGGCTTCAGCGGCATCAAGGCCAGGGCTGTTCCAATTGTTAGGAACAATGGTAACGCTTTGAACAACATTATTTCTCGAAGAGCTACTAACTGTGAATGTCTTTCCAAAGTGTCGCGGATTCTTTTTATTTGCCCCAAAAGAATATGGATTGCATGATTTATACTTTCCACCATTGGTCTAGATTGCATTTATGTTTATCAATACATTTTTTTTATTCTTATCTAGCCAACTTATCAATCTACACCTCATAACGATTGAATCATTCAAGGATGGTATTGTAAATATTAAAGTAAATTTAAAAAAAAAATCGAAATTCGACAGATAAATACTCTTTTGATTGATTCGTTTAGCTCCATCATAAAAAAAACTTAGAAACAAGGTAATAATGATATTGTGATTCATTCATCATTAGAAAGATTTTTTTATGAATTGTTTGTACAGGGTATTATGACATTGGGAAGTTGCATACGTATTTTCAACGTATATGACCTTATCTAAAGGTTTGCGAATATTATAGAAAGAGTTCCCCGACCAGGAAATTCTTACAACTTTCTCAGAACTTGTTATCAGGCGTTTCACCTTTCTGTTAAATTCTAAAAAAAAGTTCATTCTTGAAATTTGTTATCAGGCGGTCATTGAATTGCGTACATGAGTTGGATTGTAAATAAAACAAAAAAAGTACCAACTTAAGAAAATCACAAAAGATTATTGCAAATCAAAATTATTTCGAAATTATTATTTTTGTATTTATAAGATACTAGAGGAAATTACCCGTCGTTACGTGCTTTTGATTTAATAGTGCTAAAAACTAAACGAGCGAGTGGCGAACTCCGCCTCGCCCTACCCCCTAATCTTACCATCGAGGATCCCCGACTAGCACAAGGCTGCCTTTGCAAAGACGCCCACACGTATTGGCTGTGTTTCGTTGCTTCTTAGATTTGCGTCCGTAATTACCATTGATGTTTCAGTCCGATATGAATAATATTTTCGGAGCTTGAGCACCTAGTAGATCTCTGCAATATATACTGCTCAATGAAGGCAAAGGTCACCTTTTTCTTGTAATCAGAATTCCTCATTACACGAAAAAGTAAACATATTCTTTTACCTTCCTTGTAGACACTTGCCTTAAGGTCTTTCAGATAAGTGACAATAGTGAAGGTCGTTAATGCTGTGTTTGGTATAAACTATTTTGCAAAACTAATAAATGCCGCGTTTGGTTAAGATTTATTGATAATCCAAAAAATTGTCAACAGAAAAACCTATTTTTTGACCGATCGCTTATATGGCACCTATAAGATATAGTGTTCCGATGTTGATAGCATTATGCTTGAAAAATGTCAAGTTTGCTGCAGATTTATTAAAGAAACCCAACCGATTCTCTCCCAAAAACTGCATTTTCGGGCAATAGTTCCTATGGCAGCTGTATGCTATAGTGGTCCGACGGACGGCGGAGTGGGCTGCATCAACTCGGCTGTTGATGTTCATGTGGGATATTTATATTTCATGGGTTCGGAGATGTTTTCTTGTGTATCGAAATTATAATATCCTTTACAAGGGTATACAAATATATTGCGAATTAAAAATAAGTTTCGTAGTCATCTTTTTTATTTTTGGCTACTATTAATCTTCATTAGAAGATGCCACTCAACGGTCGTTTAACGGTCGTTCCCGCCCTTTTCATTAATATTACTTTTTCACCTACTTTCCTCCCGTGGAAAATTTAAATCTATCCGTACCATCTCTAACTTCACTCCTTACGAACACATGCGGATATCTTTGAAGTCCATCGAACGAGGAAACAAGAATTGATATCAACGTTTTCCGCCAACTTGTAGTGAGAATCTTGATTTCGAAAAATAAACCTTTCCTAATTCAACCTTTAACCAACAATTCCCGTCTTGCGTATTAAATATTCACTAAGAACCATGAAAACGAGTTTGAAGGTTATCAAAAAAGTTAAAAATTTTTGAATGAGGCGTTGATAATATTAATTTAAAGCAGAGCAATAACCGTTTTAGACTGGTCCAATTTATGGCCGTCTTACTTCCTTTGAGATTACATTTTACTATCTTTTAACATATCCTTAAGTATCGTTATCGAATACTCCACTCCACATATTATATAAGAAAATTTAAATTAAAAAAACAGAATTTCGACATCGAAACCCTCTACAGGGTATAATAATAGCAATAATAATTAACATATACAAACTTTAGGTTCGAAATACTCTGTACAATTCAAACAAATTTTAAATAAGGTTCAATTTTTTTAATTAGTCATGTTCTAATTTAAACTGCAATAATAATATCAACTATAGGAATTTCATGATCAGCTTTATATAAAATTTTTTTCAAATAATTGATGTATATGCGCATTATACAGTAGTTGCATCTGTTTCTGCGGTGGTTGTGATGGTAGTGGACGGCGTTGAAGAAGGCTCGACGATGTCGCCATTCAGGCATTTCTGGAGCTCAGCATACGTGCGGTCGGTATTTTCCCAATAAACTCTTTCGGCATAGTTGGCGCAGAACTCGGCCACGGTGTCAGCGGCACGATACAGCTCCCTCACGATTCCGCCGTATTCACCGGCATCCGATGACAGAGTGAACAGTTTTTTGGAATATTCGGAGCCCTAGAGTAAGAGAGGTGAGTATGAGGATGTACTTCATGGGATTTCAGTTGACTCACTGTGCTTGCGAAGCAGTCAAAGGCATCAACATAGTGGACATTGCCATCACATTTCAGCAGAGCATCGCAGGTCTCCTTAGCTGTTGCGGTGAAGTTTTCACGAGGTTCGTAGTATTTTGCGTCTATTGCCTCGCACTCCGCCTTATACGTGTCCACACACTTGCCATAGTCAGCCTCGTACTGATCCGTAATGTCCTTCAAGATTGGCAAGTAGCGGTTAAAGCAGTACTGGTTCAGTGCTGGGTTGCTTGAGCCCACTCCACGCGACATAAGCATAAAGTCCACTAGACTGCGATCGGATTCGATCTTCGGCTTCAGCGGCATCAAGGCCAGGGCTGTGCCAATTGTTAGGAACAATGGTAACGCTTTGAACAACATTATTCCTCGAAGAGTTACTAACTGTTTATGGCTTTCCAAAGTGGCGCGGACTGCTTTTTATTTGCCTTCCACCAAGACATATTCTTGCCATGTTGTATACTTTTTACCATTGTTCGAGATTGCATTTGCTTATCAACTCGAAACATGTATGTAGGTAGATTGCAACACTTGCTTACCCCTGTGATATCAGCGCATATGCTGCTCGCCATATTTCTTCGCAGATATTTCATTTCCGGTTTTCTCTGCCTCCAGAAAGTGCGTGAAATATATATGTTTGGATCGATATTTAAAAGAGCTAATCGGGAGTCTATATAGAATTTTAATTCACTCCCGACTGCAGAATAGACTAATACAAAAGAATATTTGTCCGTGTAATAATAAATTGTAATTTGCGCCATTTCCCAAACACCGTGGCGCCACCTTTGGGCTAGTAGGACGTACTAGATGTTTAAGCGATATATCGATAGTTACGTACAGAGCTGCTGCTGCCAACATTTTATTTTTTCATTATTTTTGATGCATCGCTTGCCTTGCCATGATAGACGAGAGCAATAAACGATTTTGATAATTTCCTTTAAAATGCGCGGTTACACTTATAACAAAATGCTCTCTTTCAGGGTATTTGTAGAAGTGCCCATTGCTAGGCAAGAGTTATTTTAGTTATGAGGTTTTTGCGAACACAAGCTATAAAATAAAAACGTGCACTTTCAAATATATTTCAGCTGAATGTTAGATTCGGCTGTAGCTCTTAAATAAGGATCAAAAGTTGGAACACTTGTAATGTTAAAAGGTCGCATGTCAATTTCAATTTCTTATAAACTTCTTCTCAGTGTATTTAGAATAATAGCATTTGATACAATAATAATCATTTAAAATAGAAGTATCGAGTACTTACTTGTATAAAGTGAAATTAGTACATCACTATTAAACGATATATCGATGCTCTTTAGATAGAGATTATCGATAGAATTATATATCATATTCGTGGTTGTTTTTTTTTTCTGATCAAAACATATATTTATTTTGCGTTACAAAAAAATTGCATTCACAAGATTCGATCCTGATTAACTGGCGGCCTACTAGTGATTTTCGTTCGGTGACGCACAAATCAAACAAAGAAAATTTTCGTCAAGCTACAAAGAAATACGAACACACACACATATATATATATATATATATATACATATACAATATCAAAGTAAGTGCAAGCGAAAAATCGGTAACGAAAAATCCAAAAATTGTGAGGTGAAATATAATATGTGCGTTTTCAACTGTTTAATATCGTCATATTCATGCTGTGAAATTTGCTATCGTGTAAAAGAATAGAAAGGGGCGTGAGCATGGTTATGAAATTTAATAATTTCATTATATGGTTCTCCTCGTGTGGCACTCACTTAGTGATGCGCACTGTCCGAACTGTAACTATGAAATACCAGTTGGGACTGAGAAGCGCGATACTGAGTTCTGCGATGAGATCGTGGATACTCAATTTCAATGTAGAGCTTCAGAAACATCGATGTTTCAAAGCAATAATTATTCAATTGAAAGGTGGTAAAATGATTTGCATTTAAAAATATTCAAGTACAAAGTTGTAAAATCATCAATGATTTTAATAGAAATCCATGACACTTTTGGAATATTGTTGAAACAGTGTATCATTTTGATGTAAACAATGCAATGCGCGCCCATTTTGCTCATTTAGACGCGTTGTTGCGCGCCTAAAACCAGGAGTATTTAATTGACATCGCTAAACTAAAGGGAACAAATATTAAGGGCAGCAACAAGTACATATTTTGAAGCTAACGCCTACGCTGAGCTGTAGCTAAAAGGCGTGTGGGCGTGTTAGTTCGGACAGGGCTAAATTTAGCGCCGAGCCCGCGTCCTTGATAAATCGATGGGCAAAACGAAGAAAGAGCAAGCGGCGGTAACACTAACCACAGAAACAACAACCAGAACAACTTAATAAAAAAAGAGCGCTGTTGCATTCGTTTGTCGTCGAATGTAGGCGGTTAAAGGCTCTATTCGCATCCTTGATTCCGTTTGCTTGTGTGTATGTGTGATACTGTGCTTGTGCGAGTGTGTCGGGTGTCTGGCATTTATAGATTTTTGCATGCCGCTCAGCAAATTGTTTCGACTCATCAGTCTTTCTCCCCCTCCTCACAGCAACAAAAGTCACAGGCGCGACTGGCCCGAAAGTAATTCTATAAAGTACACACACATTATGTTCAATAGATATGGGAGGATTCCTGGATAAGCCGAAAACAGCAAAGCATAATGAACAAGGCGAAGGCAATAAGCTGCTCTTTGGCGTCAGCTCGATGCAGGGCTGGCGCTGTGAGATGGAGGACGCGTATTATGCTCAAGCCCGTCTAGGCAATGCATTGGAGGAGTGGAGCTTTTTTGCGGTATTTGATGGCCATGCGGGCTGCAAAGTATCGGAGCACTGTGCCAAGCATTTGCTAGACAGTATCATTACCACAGAGGAGTTCAAGAACGGCGACCATGTGAAGGGTATACGTACCGGTTTCCTGCGCATTGACGAGGTGATGCGACAACTGCCCGAGTTTACCCAAGAGGAAGAGAAGTGCGGCGGCACTACAGCTGTCTGTGCATTCATCAGCTCAACGCAGGTGTATATAGCCAATTGCGGGGATTCGCGTGCGGTGTTGTGTCGCCAGGGCGTTCCGGTGTTTGCCACCCAGGATCACAAGCCCATTTTGCCGGAAGAAAAGGAGCGTATTCACAATGCTGGCGGCAGTGTAATGATAAAGCGTGTCAATGGAACACTGGCCGTGTCGCGTGCTCTTGGCGACTATGACTTTAAGAATGTGAAGGAGAAAGGGCAGTGCGAGCAGTTGGTCTCACCGGAACCGGAAATCTTTTGCCAAAGCCGCCAGGACACCGACGAGTTCTTAGTACTCGCCTGTGACGGCATCTGGGATGTCATGAGCAACGAGGATGTATGCAGTTTCATATACTCGAGGCTGAAAGTGACCACCGACCTGGTAAACATTGCCAATCAGGTGGTCGACACCTGTTTGCACAAGGTACAGTATGATCCTAATTGTTAACATAATAAATCTGTTAATTTGTTTCTTTTTTTTTTTGGAATCACAGGGTAGTCGTGATAACATGAGCATCATAATAATTGCTTTCCCCGGAGCACCAAAGCCAACTGAAGAAGCGAAAGAGGCTGAGCGACGGTTGGAGAAACAAATTGAGAAGATCGCAAGAGGTTGTCTAAGTCGTCTACTCTGTTTATAACTAATCGTAAAAGTAACGATAGTAGTAACACAATTGTGTTTATGTCTGAGTGCTATCGACTTTCCACCTTCGATGCGCTAAACTACCTGATATAGGCGACTAGAAAGCGAATACATTGTACCTTACTTAATGCAAAGATAGGCCCAATCAATGGTTGGCATAGATTAGTAGGTCACCTTAATACAAACGAATTCGTATTAGTTAAATAGCTAGATAATTGAACTGATCCAATCCGCAATGCAAGCACACTTGCCACAAAATTTTCTGCCACGTAGCACCCGTAAGGAAAACTCGAAAACCAAAAACAAAAAAATTGCTATTACCATTGCCAATACCAGTCAGTACATAAGTATACGTTTACAACTATACGTACTTAGCTCTATGCATCTCCTATTGATAATGCATAGTAAATACCTGTATACATTGCGTGTTAGTTTGTCATATCTATTACCTCCGCTAGCTGTGCGTGTGGCTGAGTGACTGATCGTGTGTGTGTGTGTGTGTAACAGTATTATTTATTTACTATACCTGTGTTTTAATGCGTTTGTGAGCTACTGCCACTGCCAGAGTTTTAAGTGTAGCTGAAGAACCCGAAATCCCTGCCCATTTAGACACAGTATATCATGTGCATATTTATAGTAACATATTGTAGTACCATAAGTTTATTAATAATTATCGATACTCCCTCCCCTTAACATTTGTAGTTGGGGCCCCTTCAGCCAGTGTACATATGCTTGTATATAAACCTTTGACTAAATACTCAATCATGCTTTAAAAAAAGAATACCTTACGCATATTTGATAAACATTTTAGTGAAATTCTATCAAAATCAAGTATAATTAAAGCAGACATAGTCATAGTTCATTAGGACATTTGCAAAGTCAAATTAAACTTCGACATTACAGTGCAGATATGAAAAGTAATGAAACAAGTAATAGCACCATAAAAAAAATTGACATGCATGTACTAACGATTGTTGTTGAATTGAGGGAATTGATTTAGATGAGTCATTAACTTATAACTGCGCTAAGTTCAAGCTCAAGTATTAGTCTTATAGGATATTTAGAATTTTTTCTAGTGCGTTTGCGCGGTTGATCTTAGGTAGCTCACAGTATTCATAACACCAAAGTGAATTTTAAAAAACGTCCTTACGACAATGTTTCGGTACAGACGTCAGCTTTATATACATATACGAAGTAGATGATTACTTTATGTAAATGGAATTCTTTATGGTTTACCATTAACTAAAAAAAACAAAACGAACCACAAGTTATTGCAATTAGTCATATTTACAAAAATTTAGTATAAAGTACAACAAAAGACAAAGCTAGTCAAATCAAATGTCCAGAAAAATTACTTAGCCTAGGGTAAAGATATTTATTGCTAAGCCTTAGGTCATCTGTATATGTATCGGATAAAACCAAAAAGATAAAAAAAAATATGAAAGAAAGAAAGACGTGAAAAATATTGTAAACCTTATGCTCACCAATTGTTGTGCTTGTTGTCATCGTATACAATTTACTTTAAAATGTTGAATTTAGAAGTGCAATTGATGCGGCGCAGCGAAGCTAATCAGAATCAGTTCGAACATCTCTTCGATATACTGAGAACATTTGTACCTAAGTACTATAGCAATCATTCATATTTGAAATCGCTTGCTCAAGCAGCGGCGTTTATATAGCTAATAATAATAATAGAATATCAAGACAACTATATAAATACGTTTCTTTTTCGCTGCTAAGAAAAAATATAACTTGAAATGAAAGATTCGAAAACCAATCAACCAAAGGTGTTTGTTTGCTGTGTTATTCAGTTTTCAGTTTACATTCGATAAACACTTGCTGCTTTTCACGCCCTTTCCTTCAAAACGCAACGCAATCAAAACAACAACTCACCAAATTCATGTGATGAAAACACAATTTTATTTATCGTTTTATTCGTTTACACATTATGCAGCATTTTTAATTGATAAACTTTCATTTATTAATTTAGAAAATTGATTTAGTTAACTTTCTTTAGCTGTTGTTCTTGGTTTGTTTGTTTGTTTGTTTGTTTGTTTAAAGGATCAGTCGCAATTAATGACTAATGATTTCTTTCAAGTATTCTTTCTAAGATAAATTTGTCAAAGTAAATTTAGCAACGCGCTATTCTTGTTTTGTTATCGTTGATCGCGCATCGTGATATAAATCGCACTCTTAATGTACACAATCACCATGAAAATGGGCGTGTCAAGTCAATGCCAGAAAACAGAAAGCCATACAAATTATGTGAAGAGTGAGCATAAGGTAAGGCACATAGATCCCACAACACACAAATGAAAAGTATATGATATATGCATGCTCTTAAGATAAAACAAGTTATTATATAAATGTTATCCAATCACTTTTACAATTCGATATGTTCAAATGTTTGTTGTACACTGAATGCTGTAAACAGTTTTCTTATAAACAATACCCAATGCAACGATTATCAAAAAGGGGGCCAGGCAGAGCACTGCCACTCTTCTTTTTTTTTTTAGTGTACTCCCCTTTGACCTTTTAAAGACCGATTTTTTGCGACACCACATTTGTTGTATTATTTAAGATTACGCTAACAAAACAGGTCAATGGAATTCAAAAGCAGACATTCTTCTTGTCTTGTATGTTTATCTGATAATATCACATTCGATTGACCTGTATTAATTAGTCAAGCCTCACGTTAAGTTTGTTGATCTCAATTTTTGCCGGCTCTGGCTGTTGCAACATATTTCGTATTCTATTTTTGATCAATTGTGAATTTGCTTTTGCGTAGCTTTAATATGTATATAAATAATTCGTATATAATTGTACATACAAACTCTTTTAACATGAGTATTACTTTTAAGTTCGATGCACTGAATGTACCCAACTACTACATAATCATTTGCTTATTTCTGGCATTCTTACAGAGGAGATCGAGAGTAATCAGATCACAGATTATGTGGAGCTATTAAAGTGTCTACAAGACAAAGGTGACATTCTAGGTCTTCCACCCGGCGGCGGATTGCAGTCCAAGTATGTATAACTGGGAAAGGAAGTCTGAAGATTTTTGTACAAATTAATTTATACATAAATAATTATGTTTTCAGATATCACGTTATCGAGCGCACATTCAAGGAGGTTTTTCCAGATAGTCCATGTGAAGTACGAAACATTTTTTACAACATTTAAAAATTAAATTTTCTGATTACGCTGCGTATTTTACTGATGCTTATTGATTTTGATTATGCTTTTAAGTTCACATTTAGCTTTCTTATTATCTAGATTCATTAACATTTTTGCTTTTTCTTGCTTAGCTATCAGATTATTTCACTTTTATCACCTTTATCATTTGAACTAAAACTATAATTGTTAATTCTAACAATCAGGCTGCATCCCAACTAATTCTTGATTAACAAATCGAAAGCTCTTTACGAATTCTCTTTCTTTTATTTCTAGCTGTATGCATATGATGAGCTATGAATTTTTTAATGCTAAATATTGTTCATTTCTAAATCAACAACAACAACCAAAACAACCAACCAACCAACAAGAGAACAAATGAAACTAAAACCTTAAAATCCGTATGCTCTAACTGTAAGGCGAACTCCATTTTTGTCGTTTGCGTCTCTTCGTTTTAACATAGATAAAGAACATATTGTAAGATTTGCAGCACGAAAAAAGGCAAAACTTAATAATTAAACAGGCACTCGCATGTTCGCTCTGCTCTACCCCGCATGCTCATCCAAACAAAACAAAAAAAAAAAACAATATTAATAAATATATTAATGATTATAATTGTAAAACAACAACTCCACAACCTTTCCACTTTACCACTTCTCATATAAGCCCTCGTCCTAGCTGTGCTTCTCTTTGATCAACTGTTTCCAAACCGTTAATAATTTGTCCTTTTCGTTATTCTTGCAGAGTCCAACGCATTAAATTGCGAAACAGTCAACAAATGCAACAACAAAAATAATTTAACAATAATACCAGAAACAACAAAAAAAAAAAACACACACACACAACACACACCACAAATGTACACTCCACACACACACATAAAGTACACCAAAACCGTTTTCTACTTTGATAAAAAACTAAAAAACCTACTAATAATATAAAAACCCATTATTTTATAGTTCAAATGAAAGCCAGTCCTAAACACAACTAGATGAACCTTGTATTACGTAGATCTTATTTAGATCGTACTTATAGAAAGGAGCGAACTTAAGCAGACCTCAGAGCTAAAAACCGATACCACAAAATAGAATCGAATCAAACAGGGTTTGGCTGAAAGCCAACACAATATTTCACACGCTGACAACTTTCCTTATCTAACTACCTACATACTACAATTGTTACTAGAGATACAAATACAAGTATAGATACAATAGCGATACCATATGGATAACTCCATGTTAGTCAGTGGTCATCTAAACTTTCCGTGTCACCTCATACTTATTATGAATTCAGAAGAACTGTTGACTCGCCTTTGTTTCCCGCCTCCGAACTGTATAGAAAGTTCAGCTGTGTAAAAAATTTACCAAAAAAAAAAACGAAAAAAAAAAATCAATACAAATACTATTTTTTCCATGTCTTAGAAAGTCGCTCGGAAGGTGTCTGTACAAGAAGTTTTTTATTTAAATTTTCAAACTGTGTATTAATATACTATTGATTCCGAACCGAAGCGGACTTTTGAAAGCTGTATAATGTTTGTTACTGAAGGATCATTTTTGTTCATTATTTTTATATATGTATATGAAGATACCCAATTTAAAAACAAAAAAACAAAAAAATAAGTAAAAAAGAAAAACTGTAATGGAAAAGAAAAACTATTATTTTGTAAGAAATGTGCAAAATGGAATATTAAGAAACTTAAAGCAAAACAAAAAAGAAATAACTCCCAAGTTTGTAGTAAATGTTAAAAAAAAGAAATCATTTGAAATTATTCATGTTATTTAGTCGGAGTTAAGCTGCACAGTGTACCAGTCGTATCACTTCCAAACACGACAAGTGTTGTCCTTGGAGGCAGTTAATATTGCATCCCCCGCATAACTGTAGGCACAACTAAATACCTCCGACTCATGACCGCTCAGAACCTGGGAGCACTGCCCCGTCTTAGTCAGCCATAGGCGTGCCGTGTTGTCCGCCGAGGCAGTGAGGAGCATGCAACCACTAGGACTGAAACACACCTTGTTCACTTCATCGCTGTGGCCGGCCATAAGGGACAGCATCTCGAACGGCTCCAGGCTCCAAACACGCGCTGTGCAGTCACTGCTGCAGGTGGACAGTTTTTTGCCAGCCGCGTCGAAGCTCAAGTCGAGCACTTCATCGCTGTGCGTGGATACCAAATGCAGCTCCTGGTCCAGGCGACGCAAATCCCAAATGCGTGCAGTGCGGTCCAGGCTGCCGGTGGCAACCAATGAGCTGCTGAAATTCCAAACACAGTTGGACAATTCTGCAGTGTGTCCGCGCAGTTGATGACAGTGGCTGCGGAGTCGGGACAGTGCAATTGGTAGCAATATAACATTGATTATGTTAATCTTTAACTCGCCTCTGACTGCGCGTATCCCAAATTGCAGCTGTGTGATCAAACGAGCCCGTCAGCAAGAGCTGGCCGTCGCGAGAGTATCGTGCCGATATCACCTCGGCGCCGTGGTGGCTCAACTGCTGCAGCTCCTGCGCGGTTTCCGCGTCGAAGATGCGTGCCGTTTCGTCAATAGAGGCCGTTGCAACGTCCTGGTCATGCACAGGATTAAATTCGGCAGCCACCACTTCAGCTGTGTGGCCATACAGCGTGAACTGGCACTGCCCGCTGCTTGCGGACCAAATCTTGGCAGTGCCATCAAAAGAGCCCGTGATGATCTTGTCGCTAAACAACCCGCAAGTATTATGCACCATTTAATAGTTTCACTACAACTTACAACTTACCAGCGCGGCACGTTGAAGCCCACTGAGAACACCACATTGTCATGGCCGGTGAGCATATGCTGCAGCTGACCGGTGCTGGTGTTGATCACATGGCAGGTGCGATCGTAACTGCCCGTCAAGCAGCGCTCACCGCTGCGATCAAAGCACACGTTGGTCAGCGGCAGTATGTGCGAAGTGTACGATTTATGCAGATAGAACTTCTTTTTAATCGGTTCGTTTAATTTGGCTTGTAGCTTGACTATTGCCTGCTTCAGTGCGCTGAACATGTCCTGGGAGCTGGAGGCTTTGGAATTGGCGGGCAGGCAGAATGTGGAATTATCTGCAGCAACGTCTCCCTGGCCACGCTCCGATTCAATCGCCTCCAGTTCCTGGACCATTACGCTATCTGCTAGCTCCTCCACATTTGTTCTGTTATAAATTGAATTTTTGATGGGGACACGCTGCATAATTTTGGCTACTTACTTGATATCCAAGTCGAGTAAATCAAAATGTCGTAGCCGTTCACCGCCCGTAGCTGTTCCATAGCTCAATGCCAAACCTATTTAAATATAGTATAGCATTAAATTGTTGAACAGAACGCAGATTGCTTTAGATTCACCTGGCGGATAGTAGCGCAGAAAAATTTTACTGGCGCTCATTTCGCAGCTGTTGTCTTCGAGGCCAATGTCGAAATTCCTTTAGCGGGACGACTCGCTTGCGAGTATGAGTTTCGCATGCTGACCTGCTTTAATTTGTTGCGCGTTGCCTTGTCAGCCCCGTCAATGGCGAAGCCAATGACATGCAATGTCGACTAGTTTGGTCGATTCTCTAGGTTGTAAGTCTGGGTCGTTACGTGGATAAGACTAGCTTTGCAGTGCAGTGTAGTACGCAAACATTTTCCTTAATGTTGCTGTTTTTTTCTGCTTTGTTCCTCAATGAAACCAAATTTATTTGGTGGAGTCAGTTCTGTAAGGCATTGACCTTAACAGAATACTTATAGCGGAATTTAAAATGTATAACCTTGGCTTAAATACCGATACACTCGAATGTCTTTATAACTATTTCTATTTGATTTTCCGCCCTTGTAATAAAGCTTTGATGTGCTAACTAAAGCTTTCTCGAAAACCTCTTAACCTGTTAAAGCTCATTCGCCCTGCTAGTCCAGGTGTGTGAAAAATGGCCGTATAAAAACAAAATGGCCGTCAGGTGTCGCCTACGATGTGGTTTGTGTACTCGATAGCTTGTAAAATTTCTTGTTGCCTTAAACATGACGTACATCTTCAATATTATGCTTTATATTGAGTTATCGTCTAAATATAAGATATTTTTAAAGTTGACATTTAATTGAATTCAGTATATTTTTCTATAGTTTGTGCGCGAGTTCCCAAAACGATTTTGGCCCTGGGTGACCATAAAACGCGTTTGTAACCACACACATTTTTTTTCGGCTGTTAATATCTATAAAACCTAATTAGCTTGTTTAATTCTATTGGTCCCAAACGCCAATTGATGCCAGCACCTGTTTACATTAACATATGTAATACACATATACATATATACAATACAGTAATATTTCGACACCAAACACACAGCCAGAGGTGGCCACTGGCAGCGGCAATAAAGGCAATTAGATTGTCTTACCTTGCTCGTGCCTCGTTTCGACATTTTCACTAATTTAATTTGCTCGGTAATCACTGAGACGTGGGCGGCTTGGCGCGGGCAAGACGGCAATGTCCATTAGGCTAATACATGAACGCAGATAGCAAGAGATGAATAGGGTGTGCGAGAGGGGGGGACGACAACAAAATGACCATAGCCAATAATGATAACGAATTATTAGATACTTATTATCACACCCAATTTTGTATCAGTGAACAAAACTGAAACGGACAGTCCGGTGCGCACAATGGCTAAACAAAGGAAGATATTTGGAAAAATAAAACGCAACAAAAATTGCTTATTTATAATGAAGCATTTCATTGATTTTGGTTCAACGAGCAGTCGACAATATAAAAACAAAAGCCAGATGCTGAATGCATAAACCTGGAACAGCGATTCATTACAAGGGCAGGCAGCATTGTTATTTCTGTACGAGAACAGCAGCAACAGCTGTTGCCACGGATCATGTCTTTATTTAGCAACTTTTTTCCTTATGACATATGTTAGTTGTTGGCGAAAGCGGATACGGAAGTTGTGCGGAAAATGACCGACACGCTGAAAGCCAGTGGCAACGAAATGCGGAATGCAAATGAAATCAATTTAAAATCTCATAAAACGCTCTCGCAAACAAAGCAAAGCAAATCCACAGCCTTAGCAGGCAGGCATTGAACATCATGCGGATTTAAATTTATGCTCAATAAATTTTTGTTGATTTCCGGCAAGCCCGCAGCCTGCCATCACTTGAGCTGTGCGTGTGTGGATGAGTAACAAAAATGCGGCGCTGCATAAATTAAAGACACACGCGCACACCTACCCACACACAGACACATACTGAATGTTACCTTTATCCTCGAAAATTATTATTGCCGATATTTTATGAGTGTTTTTTCGACAGCTTGTGGCCCATCTTCGAGCTGGGTCACCCATCCTCCCGACTGCTGGTATACGTTGGTTAAGCAAATTATGCTTAAATGGCAGAAACTTTTTCGGGCCGATAGAGAAGGACCCCCAGGCTTAAACGTAGATTTCTGACTAAGACCCGGTATGGTACATCAGCAGATTTTCAGCTTTTATTTTTAAAGATAGCACCTCATCCTCAGTTTTCCTATACCCTGTACAATTGGTTATGCCGACAGCGTATGAGTCAACCAGAATCTTAGGTAAACCTTGCAGGTTCAATCTATATCCAATAAGTGAGTTGGCGCTTGCTGCTATTTTATTTCTTCTGCAGATACACCAAATGTCTAAGGACCGTCCAGAAATACTCTTTACTTACTTCAGCATATCCTCGAAATATTTTTAGCTAGACCACCGCGCAAATTGGTGATGTAGTGTGTATAACTGGAGAAACATACGCTTGATGTCCTCGTAATTACATTTTACACAGCTTGGCAAACTTGCTGGCCCGCGGGCTTTGAGCGAGTGCATCGAACGGGCCAATTCAATTGCACTCCTCTTCACTGCCCAGTGATTCTGATTTGCAATTGGGTTTTTTCATAATAAATATTTTTGGTCTTTTTATACCCTGAAACCATTGAAAATGGGTAAAAAGTGTGTATGTATTTGTGCAAATTTATGTAATATATATATTCATATATATTCAATTGACTTTTTGAAATGTACAAATATTCTATAGCGTAAGATCTACTGTAGTAAATTTCATCAAGATAGTATTGTTTCCTGTGCTGCCATTTAATTCTGTGTTACTATTCTCCCCTAGTCGGGAGCACCCGACTAGAACCTCTTGTTTACATTTTTCATTTTGATTAGCAAATATGTTTCCCTTGAAATAAATCAATACGTATTTTATGTTTATCCCTTTCTTAAGTGTTGAAATTAGTTTCCATATGCAAAATTAATATTACTTTTATACCTATATGAATGCTCACATAACTGGACATCTCAAGTTGACAAGAATCTGATGCTGGCGGGTTGTCTGCCGTCCATTATTCACGGCATATTTTTTGGGAGAGTCGTTCAACAGCTTATGACTTTGATAAATTAAATTGGGCATGGCCGGCTGAAAGCACGCGCATACATTTAAATTTACCCATACCCCCATGGATGAACATACAAATTTACTTATGAAGGCGCCTTCTATGGCTGCAATTCATGAAAAGTTTAAGCTCAAGATTGGCGCAGTATTAAATCCTTAAAGCCGTTTATGCGATTGTCCATAATGCAGACACATCGAAATGTTATAAAGTTTAATATCAGATCTCGGACTTAAAGCGTCCCTGTCAGACCTGGACCCTTCCACAGTCGCGCCAAAGGAGTATGTGTGTTTTTTAAGGTCTGCTCTAAGCTTTATTAACCGGGAACAGCAGCAGCCACCGCAGGAGCAGAAAGGAAGGTAGCACAGCAGCAACACTTTGTGCGGCTTTGTGGCCACATCAAGTATACGCACCATAAATCAGAGCAACGACCAAAACCGCTCGCAACATGCCCAATGACGTATTGAATGCATTAAACTCTGTCTTAAATTGCGTACCGGCCGTTTGCCATAAGTTTAAGTGGTGCTTAAAATGAATTATGCATTGCCAGCGTTATTATATATGAGTTCATTTATGCGCATGTATGCCTAAACACACATTACGGACCCGATTGGGCGTACATTATAGCAGAGATTGTTGCCGTGGTTTAGATCTATTTGATTATCATGTACATTGCTTTGTCCGAATGTCTGAAATGCAAAATATTTTGTATGTATTTGAAGTTGACGCTTGTGGATAACTTCTATTAACAGATGCTATCTACTATACTATCTTTCCTTTAAATATTATTTTTGTGTTTTGGCATACTCTTTAACGTTATATTTTCTTCTTTTTTTACAGCGCGAAGCAATTACATTTTTTGTACCCATTTAATTACATTCCAAACACATTTGGCATATTTTTAAAATATTTGCATAATTCACATTGGACTTAGGTAAGTGGATTTTATTATGTTATTTTTAATGATTCATTCAAAATGTTGCCAAGGTTCAAGCCGCTTAGAACACATGACACACTTATTGTGTGGCTAACTGATTGCTTTCATGAAAAATTCACTTAATGTCCTTTCAGGGTATGAAAAGCAAAATGTGCGTAAAATTTATGCAAACAAGTGCCAAATATAGTGAATCAACTCATGTGCTCATATGCATATGTGTGGGTGAGTGTGTTTTGTATGCATGGGTATATTTTTGTTTGCTTGGAAAATGGGTATTCTGAATATTTAAATGCAGTTTGGCTACGGCTTAGGGCCTTAAACTACATGGGTTAAGCATTCTCTTAATCGATTTGAAGCATCGATGTGTTCTAAGAAATCGCTCATAATAAAGGTATTTCATTTCAACAGAATGCGGCACAAGCAGTTAAAACAGTTCATTAACATTCGTTAATTAATAGTTTATAGTGTAAAAAATGTATTTATTTATTTAAAATAATTTATAAAACGTACACGTTCAATTGATATCTATTTAAACATTTTTGTCATTTTACCTGTCACATCCTTCTATTAAATTCGAAACTCAATATATTTATGCACATCAATTAAAAATAGGGTTAGCAAGGGCACATAAGTTTGGACATTGATGAAGAACTTTTACACTGTTGCTCTAACTTTGTGCACAAATATGGAGGCATGTGCATGTGTGGCGGTGTGGGTGTGGGTGTGGGTGAGTGGCTGAGTAAATGTGTACATGCATGTGGTTGTGTAAATGCGTTGTTGTGGGCACGCCTGTGCAGTTGGTGGTGCGTTTGCCACTAATTAAATGAAATCAGCAAATTAAGTAGTAAAAATTGTACAGCTAACCAAATGATTTATTTTGTTTAGCTTTTGCGATACTTAAACAAAGTAAATGCCAACCAAAATAAAACAAACACAACTCGGTCGTAGTTTCATGCCTGGGCTGTCTAGCAGCAGGCCGGAAGCAAAGAAGGCATGCTTGGACGGTCTTTTTAGTAATAAAAATTTGTATAGCTAAAATATAAATTTAATTAACATTAATTGCCCTCATATTACTCATTCGCACCTGCGTCGGCGAGCGTAGCTATATGAAATTGTTAACTGCATATTACGTATTGACTTGGGGTCAAAGTTGAATATTGTTGCTGTTGTTGTTGTTGTTGTCGCTGTTATTGCTGGCACGAGTTTTGCACACTTGTGTTTATGGTCAAAGTTTTTGGTTTGGCCAAAAAGGCGAGAACTTCTCTCAGCCAGTGAGCACAACATTTTGAGAACTTGTGATTTCTGACTCGTGATTCAATGAAATCTTTTGAACCGCAATGAACTTCGCCAACAATACTGCTGCTGCTGCGTTCCGTGGTAGTTGCTTGCTCTGCATTGCAGTGCAAGTCAATTAAAATTTATTACACATACGCGCCGTTGTAGGGCATTGGACTGGGAAATAATGGGAGGCGCAAAGTCCAGCTGCAGAAACGGTTCCTGTTCAGTTTCAATTTGTTTAATGGGTCACTTGGGCGTGCGGGCCAAAAGTTTTCATGAGCTGGCGAACAAGCCATAAAAGTAAATAGCCAGCGACGATGACGACAACGAAGACGACGACTGTGGAGCCTCTGCTCAGTCGACTAGGCAACCACAGAAGCGCACGCGACCGCGCACCTGTACGTTAATGTGCGGCTTGCAGCATGGTTCCACGGTTCTCTTTTCAGTCATGCCAATCACATAGCATATGTACGCACATACACATATATAATCGCGAAATGTAGACATAGTTGGCTTTCGTACAAAATGATATTTGAGTTAGATAATCGCGGTAATCCAATGATATCGCTCACACAGACACACAGACACACACGCATAGACTGGAGGATCTGGTGTTTATTCGTCGCAAAAAGTTGCGCTCATCTTTGTTGCCCGGTGAAAGCTACCAGCTTCGCCTATTTAGCTTACTTTTAAGTCAGCCTTCGGCAGTTGTGTGTATAATAAGCTTAACTAAACGTGTGTGTCCCAGTCTGTGCATGTGTGTGTGTGTCTGTGTTGGTGAGTGCGCGTGTGTTCTGTACGCTGTTTGCTTAGCAATCACGCTGCCATTTTGGCCTTATGCAACAGCAAAACACGCAAATGGCTCCCCAAACAAACACCCAAGTAAATCTTCTTCTGAAGCTGCTGTAATAATACAAAAATACAAGAGAAAAGGTAATACGTTACTCGGCTGTAGCTGTTTATGCTAAGAAACTGATAATGAAACCGCTTTACAGATGTTCGCTACGAATATATTTGCTTACTTATATAAATATATTTGGCAATATATAGTTATTTACATGCAAATAAATTCGATTTTTCGATTTAGCAAGCTGCTCAATTTCAATTTTATATCAGAAGCTTAAGGGACACTTCAATTAGGTAACAAGCATATGCGAGATACAGTATCAGGGCAATATGCAGGGTATTTAATTAGGTATCTAAATGTATGGAATACACAACGTGTGAACTACCGCCCGCAGTTGGCATTTTAAATAAATATATGTAGAGATAAGAAAAAAATAAAACTCTAGCACGCACTTAAAACAATTATAAAAAGTACATCAAAGCGAGGCAATACAAAAATTTTAAAATGTTGGCATCCTATTGTAAGACCCAACCGCTAAATGTGATTTGTGTGCGATTTAACGCATTTGGTGCGCTTATAAATTATTTTTATACTCATTGCAATTTAGATGAAATCGTATTTGTAAAACGATTTCTCTTTTATACAGCTGCCTTCAAGGTAAAAAACACATTTTTCTTTTGCACAGAGCACGTGTGTTTGTGCGGAGGATGGGCCGACTGTGTGGGTGTATTGCCATATAACATATTCACACCAACGAATTTTAATTGCTAGCCATATAAAGTCAAACAAAAAGTTTCGTCAGTGAATTTGCTTAGTCTTTTACATGCGGGAGCATGAGCGGGCAAGCACAAAAGTTCTTGAACTCTTGCTACACGGCCGGGATTAGGCGGAGCTTCATATTAAATTTTGGTAGTTCTAGTTCTAGTTCTTCCCGATAAATTGCAGAGATAAAAAGACTGTGCCAATTACATTAAGCCTTTTCATTCTACCACTCCCATAAAAACTTAAAATTTTTATCGCAGGTGTGAAAAAAAGGAGCTACTCTTAAGGCATCGCAACCATAAATCGATATTGACATTTATTTTAACCCCTCAAAATTGATGCCGTTATTTGTTTTTTGTTTCTTTTTTTTGCGTTATAATCATTATTTTTTTTCAATTTGACAGGGACATTTATATAAAAACAATAACCATTTGACCACCATCTGCAGACGGTTGACATGGTATTTGATTTGCCAATTACTACTGCGTGCAACAGGAAGACATATCTATGCAAAGGTTAATTTCTGATCTAGAATATAAATAAATTAAGTTACGCGCAGACATATCTTGTTGTATGATTATGATTAAGAAGCGAGAACTCGGGTTATTCTGAGAACATTTCTAGGACATTAATGCGTGCCGAATCACAACAATAGACAAAGCCGAGGACAGCGGACTTCTCTAAGCACAAGGGGAATGGAATTGGATTCATTCACATTCCGAGAAGTAGAATACTTTCTGCAAGGGTATAAAATCCGAATCCATTTTGCTTTGTTTAAGTTTGACTCCGGTGCTTTTATAATCTTGATAGTCTGTTATATCAACTACCTTTTACGGACTCCGATTTGTGGTGTATATTATTGTGTTCCAAGTTGTAGCTGACCACCGTTCATTGCGATTCAGTCTACATTTATTTTCGAATATTTATGGTATATCATCAAACAAGAACAAAACAGGCTGACGGCAGGCTAGGGCGCCACTGACAGTTGATAACGCGAATCCGCGCGTGTTGGCACGTTAATTGAAATACGTGGATCACAGGTGGGGCCAGGCATCCATCCATCGACAAGCTACTGCAAAAGTTTGGGCGTGCATTTAAGCATATACCATAATTGGCAAGTGAGAGTGAGTGTGCGCTGTCATGTGTGTCTGGACTGTGTGGGGTGCCCAGGCTGCCTGTTGCCTCGGATGTTTCGTATTAGCAACACGTTGAAATACATAATTTAAAGTTTTCGCAGCTGCATAATCCCCGGCTGAGATTACAGCTGCGCTTCAACAAGTGCTGCAAATGCAGCGCTTGGCCACGCCCACACAAACCTTCTCAGGGCCTCACACCCAGTTTATCAGATCTGCACAGTCTGTGGCGCTGGTGCAAACTTTGCCACTACCAAAGTTGTGTGTGCCACATGCCAAACGTAAAAGTTGGAAATTAAATTCCTTGGACAAAGACGCAGGCACACACATGGACACACACAAACATACACACCCGACACGCAAACATGCCAGGAACTGCAGCTGGCTCACTAGTTGTGGCAGGATTTGATCGCTTTTCCAGCCCTCTCGGCATTGCAACCTCATCAATATGGGGAGGTGGTTCCTTATAATATGCAAATGTAATCAGTGCCTACATTTTTTTACGTTCCTCGATTAGAGTGCGACTGCATGTGTGGGTGTGGGTGTGTGCGTGAGCGTGCATGGTGTGTGATGGCAAATTCTGTGCGTGCTTTTGTATTTTATGTCTACATGCATTTGTTTATGTGCGTTTTATGTGCCATGAACTTTGTATGCAGCCTTTGGCCGAGCAATAAGCAATGAGGACCTCACACGGATTTATGTTAACGGATTTAGCCAGAACTCAGCAGCTGAGCCAGTTAACCACAACCACACACTCGCACATAAAACTTTACATGGCCACTGGACACGTTGCTTGGGAGCGCACTGTCGATGTCTTAGCCACGGCAATGGCAATAGCAACAATCTTGAAAAACAAGAGCCCCCCAAGTAAGCTAAAGCAGTGCACAAAAAATGAGAAAAAAAATATACGTAAACATGCAAATTGCTTTATAAAAAGCATTCTGGTTTCCGTTTCTCGTGTCTGGTCGTCTGGTCGC